CGCTCCGCCGCTGGCCGGCCCTCCTGCCACGCCGTGCTCTGTGCGCTGGCCGGTGCCACGCTCACCTTGACGAACGGCACCCGGTTCTTGTCCTCGTGCACAGACAGATTCGTCTTGGTCACTAAATCCGGACAGCACAGGGTGAGCCAGGCCAGAACCGCCCCCCCAGCACCCGGGGGCCCTCAGTGGCGGCGTCTCTGCAGAGGGAGACGCCACCGACGTGCCACGTGCGCCAGGCTGAGCAGCCCCGCAGAGCTCCCACTGGGGTTCCGGCTGCCCCGCTGGGGTTCACTTACCTGGCCCTCCCTGTGGCGCAGGGGTTAAGCGCAGCCCGGGAAGCTGCCCGCAGCCCTGCACACGAGTCCGTCCCCGCCGGAGGGGCCCCGGGGCCCAGCGGCCCCCTCCTGTCTCCCCCTGCCCCCCTCTGCTGTGTGTTTCGCGGATCCGCCTGTTCTGCTCCCCGCTGTGTCTCGGGAATCCTCTCACCCCCGCAGCTCGGCCTGTGCCCCCGTTCTTGTGTGCGTAAATAAATTTAAAAAACAAAAAACCACTCACCATCCAGAAGATCACGAATTTTGTCCAGGTAAATCTCAAAGTAAGAAACCTGGGGAGGGAGAAGGGGTGAAGGAGGGCCCACCCCACAGCAGCGAGGGCGTCTGGGGGTACGCGCACGCGCCGAAGACAGCAGAGGCTGGCGGCGGGCGGGGGCCACGGCTGGGCACGCGGGGCCCAGGTGACGGAGCCGGAGCCGGAGCGAGCCGGGGTGCTGAGCCCTGGGGAGTCGCGCCCCCCCCACCGAGGACACCCGCGCTGTGCCCCCTCACCTTGATGTGGAACTCCAGGTTCTCATCCATGGAGTAGATGTGGTTGAAGATGTCCCGGGCAATGCGGGGGATGATTCCCATCAGCTGGGGGTCATGCAGCTTCCCCTGGGGGGCCGGGGTCCGGTGTGAGGCGGGCTCCAGCCCACGGGGTGTGGGGGTGGGGGTGGGGGGTGCAGACGGACTCAAAGGACATGAGTCCATCCCTGCCGGAGTGACCCCGGGGGCGCAGCAGACACGGGCTCAAAGGAGGCAGCTCTGCCCTGTCGCCCTTCGGGGGTTGGGGGGTAACGGGGCCCTTCCATTCACTGCTGCTGTTTTCCCAGAAAAGCAGTCAGCTGGGACGGCGGGGGCGGCCTGCAGCAGGCTGGAGGCCTCCAACGTCCCCGGGGTGCTTCCCAGTCGCCCAGCTCCTCGCCAGGCCAGGCCCCCCGCCGAGGCCGCGGCCCCCCCCACCAACGCCGGGGCGGCGCCCACCTCCATGGTGTGCGTTTTCCCTGAAGACGTCTGTCCATAAGCGAAAATGGTGCCGTTGTAACCAGCGAGGACGTCTGGAAGAGAGAAGACACGGGGTGGTAGCGGGCGGCGGGGGGCCGGGCAGACGCTGTCACCGCACCCCGCCGCACCCCGGCGCGCCCCTACCTTTGACGATCTGCATGGCGCACGCATGGTAAACTTGCTCCTGAGTGGTGTTTGGGGGGAACACGCGGTCAAAGACATAGGGCTTCCCCTGGGGGAGGTGAAAGATGGCGGCCATGAGCGGCAGGGGGAGGGAAGAGACACCCCGCGCCGCGGGGAGGGCGCCCCGCTCCCCGCTCCCCAGGGCTGGGCAGAGCCAGGGCCCAGTACCGCGTGGAGAAGTGGCACTGGCAGTGTGCAGGAGGCAGTGTGCATCTTGGCGTGATGACCCGGCACCCCACCCCGTGGACCCTGCCCTGGGAAGCCACGCGGGGGACCACAGGTCACAAACTAGGGTGCAGAACAACTCTTCAACGTCACAAATCTGTCTTTAAATATAAACTATCCCGTGAGAATGGCACATCTTCAAACAACTAGCAACAACAAATGTTGGCGAGGATGTGGAGAAAAAGGAACTTTCCTGCATTGCTGGTGGGAATGCAAACTAGTACAACCACTATGGAAATCTGTGTGGAGGTTCCTCAAACTGCTACACATGGAGCTTCCCTACGACCCAGCAATCCCACTCCTAGGTATCTACCCAAAAGACACAAAAACACTGATTCAGAAAGACGCCTGCGCCCCATGTTTACTGCTGCTTTGTTTACAATTGGAAAAACATGGAAGCAGCCAAAATGCCCCAAAGTAGATGACTGGATTAAAAAGATGTGGTACATACATACAATGGAATATTACTCAGCAACCAAAAAGAGAAACACATGTCTTTTGCAGCAACTTGGATGGAGCTGGAAAAGATCATGCTGAGTGAGATAAGCCAGAAAGAGAAAGAAAAATACCGGATGGTCTCACTCATAGCAGGAGTATAATGGACCAGGCGAGAAAATAACAAAAATAATGAACAACCATACACCAGAGACATTTTGCGGGGGTTGAGTGGGGGATGGATCAAAACGGGCGGGGGGGGGGTAGGGAGGGAAGTGCACGGGATTATGGTGATGGTGCACGGGTGACTTGGTGATGGGAAACCCGCGGGGATTACAATTGAGATGGAAAAAAAATGTACAAAATGTTATAAAAATAACCTGTTATAAAAAATACATATATATATATTAACTATCCCCACAGAGTCCCACGCCGGCGAGGGAAGATATTCCAGGAGTGTTAGGTGCAAGAGTGGGGGCAAGCGGACAGTGGGTAAGGGAGGCAGCACGGGGACACCAACACAGCACCCTCTTTGCAAAGGGGGGTACGGGCCAGAAATTTGCCCTGGACCCGGCTTTAAGCAAAGAGGAGCGCGAAGCCGACCACTCCGGACCAACAGTGCTTTTCCTGTTCTCCTCCTTCCTGTCCTCGGGATGGAGGGCCTGTGAGCAAAACAGCTTTAAAAAGCTTTTTTTCTTTTTTTTTTTTTTTTCAGAGTTGCCACAATTTGAACAACGCCACAGATGAACCAGCCTAGTGAGGCATGAAATACAGGGAGACAGCCTCTACTTTTATGATTTACTACCACAAGTACACACAAACCTATTATGAAATGTCAAAATTTACACAGACCTATACTGCACCATTAGTAGCCGAGAAAAATTTAGAAAAATATATAGCAATGTCATAGCTGCATTCAACAAATTATTTCTGTAAGAGTTTCTGGAATTCTTTCTTTCTATAAGGGGCGCAGGTGTGAGAAGTTACCCCAGAAACAGAGTGGGGAGCAGAACAGGCAGATCCACTGAAACAAACTGCTGGGGGGAGCAGCGGGGAGACCAGAGAGGGATCTGCTGTGCCCTGGGGGTCCCCCGGGCTGGGAATCGAACTCGTGCTGCTGCGGACAGCTTCATAGTGCTGAGACTCGACCCCTTGCACCACTAGGGAGGCCCCTTGGCTGCCATTTAAAATGACGTCATTACTCTTCAGCTATTGAAAAAAAGATGAAACCCTGCCATTTGCGGCAAAAAGGATGGAGGGCATCACGCTCAGTGAAATGTCATAAAGAAAAAGACACCGGGTGATTTCACTCGCTGCAAGATAAAAGAAACAAAACGAATGAAGCAACAGCAAAAACAGAGCCGTCGAGTATAGGAACAAAACACCAGTTCCCCAAAGGGAGGGCGCTGGCTGGGGACACTGGGGTAACGGGTTGAGTGTGCAGTGACGGCGGTGGCAGGAACAGATGCCGAGTTCGTAGACCCCAACTGGGGTAGTGGCCACACGGTGTCGAGGCAGGGCCAGAGTTGATCCAGCTGGCCACGTGGGCCCTGGGGTAAATGACACCCCAGTAAGTGCCACCGGAACACAAGCTGATGTCAAAATGGCTCTTCAAATAGAAACTGACCGGCACCCCCACTGCTAACACGTGCAGGTTAAAACCAAAGCCCTGTTCTCACCTTTTCATATCATTTGGATGTTGTCATAGGAGCATGCAAGGCTTACTCAAAAATTAACACTTAAATAATACAATGATGCACCATACTGAGGGACGGTAAAAGTCAAGGTATCTTACACCTGTGAAAAGACAGGTGATAAAACAATGTAATAGTTTAGACCACAACGTTATTGAAGCTAATGTATCCGTGCAGAAAAAACTGGATGCCAACAAACACACCAAACAATTCAGTTTTTCAGGGTGGGGCAGGGTTTTCGGTTTCTTCTCTATGGTTTTCTTCGTTTTGAACACTGATGCTATACTCAAATCACGTTAATGTTATTAACATGATCGAGAGGCCAGGGCTGAGGTGCGATCTACGCAATGTTTCTCCCGTCCGGTGACTGAGATGGACACAAACAAGCGTGTCTACCCCAGGCCAGCGGCTCACCTCTCCGCTACAGCGAGTTCCAGCCACGCTTCGCCAAGTCAGGCCGTGCACCAGCGGGGATTAAATACAGCTCGCAGGGCATCCTTGGCCCTGCCCTCTTCACCCTGGGGACACAGGTGCCAACGCCCACACAGGCGGGCACACTGCACTCGTGGTCCCCACACAGCCCCTTCCTCCTCAGCGCCCCGGGGCAGGCTCCAGGTGCTGCCCCAGTGGAGTGGCGGGCACTGTCCAAGTGCTGAAGGTTACGCCCGAGCCAGAACCTTCTCCCCGCCTTGCAGGGCAGCAAGGAACCAGAGGACGGTGCTGTTCTGAGACACACCCAGGAGTGGGCAGTGGGCAGAAGCCGCTCGAATCCCCGGGTCCTGGGAGGGCCCTGGCAGCCTTCTACCCCTGGCTGGGTCCAGAAAGGCCCGGTACAGAGCTTCGTTTCTTTAAGTCTGAAGGTTTTTATTTCCGTGCAGGTGAAAATTTCTTTTAATTTTCTGCTGCTTATACTCAGGGTGAATTCATTTCGTCAGATCTCTCCACGAGAATAACCAGGCCAGTGGCTTTCCACTCTTTCTGCCTCTCTTCACATGGGAAACACCACGATTACTCACAACTCTCGGGACACATGATTACCTGAAGTCAGAGCGTTGTATGTTGTAGGGGGTTTCTCAGCAGACCCGCAGGCGTGTACCGTGAGGAAAAGCCATTTCTGCTGCCCTCCCCCGCCGGCCAGTGGCCAGACTACCCTGCGGATCGCGTCACCAGAGGGCGAGGCTCTCGCGCCTCCAGCACGGTTTCTGGCCCACACAATATTGACCAAATTCAGACGCTGGTGGGAGAAGAAGCAAGAGGAAACCAGGGACTTTCAATGAAACAGGGGAATGGTTTCCAATTATTTCAAGAGCTAGCCGACATATAAAAAACAACAAACCTAATTAAAAAAAATATTTTTAAAGATTTATTTATTTATGCACACAAGACCTGGGGTACAGGCCAGAGGTGTGGGAGAGTGAGAGGATTCCCCAGAGACAGAGTGGGGAGCAGAAATGAAACCCACTGCTGAGGGGAGCAGGGGGGAGACGGGAGGGGGCTGCTGCGCCCTGGGGGTCCCTCCCTGGGGCTTGGGGGGTCGAACTCGTGCTGCAGCGGCTGCAGACAGCTTCCTAGTGCTCTCTCCACCCCTTGCGCCAGCAGGGAGGCCAGTAACGCCTAATCTTCATCAGTTTATTGCAGGCCTGTGACATCGCTACGCCGTTTAAGCACCATCTCGTCACCTCTGCAACCTTATTTAATTGTACAGATGTGAAACCGACGGTTGCTCTCAGCCACACAGCTGAGAGTGCAGAGCGCTGCTGTAAACCGGCTCTAAATCCAAGACATGGCGCCCCAACACCGTGTCCCCCCCACTGTGACATCCCCCCACCGCTCCTCACCCCCACTTCAGACATAGCTAAAACCCTCCATCCAGCCCCTTTGAGGAGCTCAAGACCCTTGCGAGGGCGGCAGGGAGTCCTCGGCAGCCTCCCCAAGGCGGCCCCTCGCCCGTCTGCCCTGGCGCGGAGACTGGCATGCGGGGCTGCAGGTGCGAAGCGGGAGCTCAGAGGCCCTCTCCCTCCGAGGGCCCGGGCGCACTGGTGCTGCTCTCGCGTCCAGGCCCCTCCTCCTCGTCCACCCGGGCTCTGTGTTCGCCTGCACCTCCCAGCCGCCTCTGACGCTCCCCATGACACGGGGGCCAGCGATGACCAACCCTTCCCCTCAGTGGAGCAGCTTGGTAGAGGCTGAACTTCCAGGCACCAGGCCTGATTTCCATGGCGACAGCCCTGGGGACTGTTGCCATGGAAATGCTGGAGCACACTGGCCACGGCCAACATTACCTCCCCTCTCCATTTTCCTTTATCAGACTCCCCCAAAGGTACGGGCAGACTGACTGCCCCCTTTGGTTACCAGTGCAATCACCCCCAAACAATACTGACTCCAACTAGCCTACAGGACTCAATCTAGCTTCCCCAAAGGAGATACTGAAGAGTCCTTTTTTTTTGCCTCCTTCAGGCCCCACTTAACCACTGGGCGACCTCAAAGAGGCAGAATGGGCAGGACACTTGAATGCAGGAGGGAGGGGAAGGAAAGAGGGGAGCATGCACCTCCTTACTGCCCTGCCCCCACCGCAGCGCAGCCCAGAGAGCAGGCCCCCGAAACTGTGCCCCCAAGCCCAGCGCAGAGCAAGTCAGTGGCCGGAGGGAGTCACGCGGGCTCTGAACGGCCCAGACAGCAGAACAGCCTGGCCGCGGCCTTTGCCTTGCCGACAGCCTCGATGGCCAGGAACGGCCGGGGGAGGGACGAAACGGCTCCTGGAGCAGTCTCTCCAGCTTGCTCCCTGACCTTTGCCAAGCAGAAACCGCCCAGGAGCCCCCGCTGCCGCAAGGCTGGGGGAGACACACCGAGGTCCAGGGGGCA